GTAACTATGATATGCAATGAATCCAATATCAATAGGTACCGTCACTGCTAATGAAACCCCAGCTAGGACTGCACCAGCAACACGTGCTCCAGTACGCAAAGCAATAGCTCCAGCCTCAGCAGCTGATTCTAATCCAACTACAATGCCCATACCAACCCTACCCAGGTTAGCAATACCCTGAGCCCCCCCAGCTGCAACATTTCCCACCATTCCTCCACTGCTGAGAGCAGACTCAGTACACTTTACCATAGCAGCATTATACTTCTCGGCAATTTCATTGATACTAATACTCAACTGCTGATCAAGACTAATGTGCTCTTGGGCTGATTTCAGTCGTTTATTTTCTAGAACTTTTCTAGCAATAAATGCTCCAACCCCTCCTAGTGAGGCAGTAGCCCCAACCACACCACCAGCAACTGATAGGCCTACTGATGCACCCAGTGTGAATGGAATCAGAGCAAGACCAGTGACCACCATCCCACCTCCTATCACTAGACTGGCTGATGATGCAACTATTCTGGCTATCCTCTCATTGCGGACTATATCCAATAAACTATCTTTATTTTCTGATATGATACTAATGGTCTCAGAACGTATTGGGTGCCACATAGAGCGGTATAGCTCCAGCTGCTTCTTGTAGTACTCTTTCTCTGCTCTATACAAAATATAATGTAAATATACATTTTAAATAGCAAAAAACAGAAGGAATGAGGAGAAAAAGAAAGAGTACTCAGCTAACCTCAAGTTGAAAGGTTTATATGGTGTAGGTAGAACAAACTTGTCAGTAAAACTATCAATGCACATGCAGGAAACTTTTATGTTATCTTTTGTGTTACATTCTTTTTGAATCTCTTTGAAACATTTTTGTATGCTGGCCCCCTGCTTCAGGTTATTTGTAACAGTGTCTAGAACCACACTGCTATTCTTCTGGATTACTGATGTTATGAGAAGAATAGAATTATTAGAAGGAATAGATGAAACTTGAAGTTTCTCTTTGAGCTCCTTGTCATGAGCTAAATGAAAGTAATAGATTTTTGGTAATTGAGCAAAAGGGGACTGTTCATCTTGGAGGCACCCAAAAATTTTGTCAGCATCAATTAGTTCATTGTTGCAATCATAAAGGTGTCTGGTTTTGCCCTTACAGAGAAAAATGAAAGCAAATGTGGCCAACTGAGAGTGATCAATGTGATGAAGCACTTCCAGTAGAGTGTTGATTGATCGAGAACTGAGCGAGTTGAAGTAGAGGGTACAAAACCCAAGGGTGTTAAAGGTTTCTTTGATTTTATCAGCATCATCATTAATCGTCTTAGTCCCATCCTTTTCAACTTTAACTTCACCATGATTATCAATAATGAATGCCAGATAAATCTCTACAGAAATAACAAAATAAAAACATAATAATAAAATGAATAATGTATGCATGATAGACAAATAAATTTTAATATAATAAATCAATAGATCATAATATAAAATTAATTTCTTACTATCATTTAAGTTCCACAAGCTAAAATTATGTTTTTCCTTGATTTGTGAGTGAGCAAATGTTATTAAGTCGTGTAACCAGTTCTCTCTATCAGGAAGCTTCATTGGGTAATGATCAGAAAATGTTGGCTTATAATATCCTGCTGGTACAACCTGAACCACCAAATCATCAATACCAAGATGCTCCTTTAAAAAATCATTGATACGAGCTGCACGTAGTTGCACTCTTTTAACAAACCTCTTTTTCATTAATTTTGCCCATGCTTCTGTGTCTGTAAATGGAGGCTCAGGATCGTCATCATCTCGGCTATCCCTCTGTGCACAGTCTTCTTTGTTAGCAAAAGTGAGCACAATTACAACTCTCTTTAAAAAACTGGGACCAAATGCCTGATGTAGTTTACGTAGAGCACACTTATCATCATCCGAAGTCCTATGATTGGTCATCTTCATGCAGTAGAGCACAAGGCTAACCTCCTGACAATGAGCCTTTATTTTTTCAATGTACAGCTGCTCATTATTATGTATATCCTGCAAACCAGGTGAGTCTATAACCCTCACTCTGACACCGGGTAACAGCTCAGGATGAACGTAAGAGTGACATGATTTGGTACACATGTCTGCCTCTGCTCCCTCTTCTGCAATCTCTTTTTGTAACTCTATGAAGCTGTTAATAAAAGTTGACTTCCCCTGGCCTGTTTTTCCCACCACAAGCAGGTGAATGTCTGACGAAGTTCCTTTACTCGTCAAGATATGCTTCATTGTAGACATACCTACAAAAGTAAATTCAAACAAGGTGAATATAAAAGCCTGGCTGCAGAAAGAAGCACTACTCTGGTCACTCCTTTTCAATTGTATCTCTCTCCCATGCGCCCATTACATGTAGTTTGTCCGGTAGTCTATTTCAGATGCATTACAATAATTATTAGCAGGGTTTGAGTTTACGTTCTGTTTAGCTGGCTCAATTAATGGTATGCATGCATTATTCTATTAAGCATGTACAGTAAAATCTCATTATTCCCATCATCATAGATCTTTTCCACCACTGAGCACTGAATATCTGAGTTGTGGAATAGATGTACAGAGCTGAATGGGAAAAGTGGCTTTCTTTTTGGCCTCACCCAGCTTTGCATAGGCGAGGACTAGGTACTTGGGTTGTCTGTTTGTCTTTCAGTCATTCATTCATTCATTCTGTGCGCCATCTTTTGTCTTTGAGAATCTATATCCTTGCAATCGCACACTCTAAATCTGTGAGAGCTTCTCTTCTGTTAGGAAAAGTCTTGCTTTACTGCCTTGAGATGTTTAGAGAGGAGCTCTAGGTAGTAGAAGCTTTTTAACTCATGAGAAAATGCCCAGCAATAGCAGTAGTACACTGGAAGTAAATGAGACTCTTTTCCTGTAGATCAAGACTAAATATTTGTGGGACTCTTTAAATCTCTCTTGTTGGTGAGTTATAGCTACTCGAATTTCATCCCGAGTGAAGTGCTGTAGCAGTAGTTCACTAGTCTAAGGATCCTAAACTTTCTTAAGTCACTTCAACTATCTAGGCAACAGTGTTTCTGCCATTTATAACATCATGATTGTGCTTAGAAGAAGAGAAAAACATTAAGCTTGCTTCTCACATGGTCTGCTGCACCATAGATAATATACTACATGAAAGGGATTGGAAACCACCGGGAAAATTACATAGGTGTAATGCGTTGCCTAGCGACATATGCAAGTTGCCCGCGAAATGAGCAAAATGAAGGATTTTCACTGCAGTTTGCAGCTTATAATTCATGTCTAGTATAAACTACCGCTAAAATTTTAGGACAGCCAAAGAGATCAAGGTCATAGCTATTCATTGATACTTGGTTCAAGAGGACTGCACTTATGGTCTGTATGAAATCCTGTCCTAAAGTGTACCTGTCAAGTTGTCCTAACTGTCAGTTTTGTTTTGTACCTTTTTCTCTGAGGCTTTTAGTTTAATCTTCCATTTAAGTTCATGATCATTTAAGTAGCTACAAAACTGAGGTTAATAGACCCTTTTTAAAGAGAAATAACTCATGACTATAAATCCATAGCTAAATGTTGTAGTGCCTGAAAAATACTTCTGTTTTGTACCCTTAACTCAATAGCTTCATATAGTTCAGCCTTCAAATTTTTTATACAGATATATGGTTCGATTCCGGAGGTTAATAAGATACTTTTACATCTAAATTCTATGATACATATTATATATAATTATTTTTTTCATTTTCTCATATTTATCTGTTTTATATGACTCTAACACTTTTGTAGGTAATAATTTTTTTAAATGCAAGGAATACTATTTGTAAAAATCATTGAGAAAATAATCAATAGCAAAGAAGCTATCATATTTTGTTTCTGGTGTTCGGGGAAACAGCAGAGAAATCCCTTCATCAACACTGCAGAACAATTTTTCATATACCCTTTTATTCTAATAATCCGTACAATTTAATACGGTATTGACAACTAGCATTTCCTGCCGCGAATGGTGGTTTCCAATCCCTTTGATATAGTATACTGCATAAAAATGTATGGCCACACCTCCAAGCAGGAAGTTGATGCTATCTTCCAGTGTTTATCAGTTTTGATCAAAATTTACTTGCAGCTATACCTGGCTATAGCTAAGTTTATAGAGCCTTACACCTCCCATTTCAAACAACTATAGGGACGAGGCCACGCACCTTTGGTCTCGTTAAATGCAAGCATTGATTCACACACAAATGCTCACTGGACTTTATTTTGTTGTATAATTCTAGTTACCATACTGCAATTTTGCGCAGCTTTTTTGGAGAAAATAAAGAAACAGTGCCTTTTGCCCATTCATCTCTGTACATCTATTCCACAACATGTTGGCTTGTTAATGATATTCATTGCTAAATGGCCCGTGTCCAGCTCACGTGACAAATTACAACTAGGGTATGTACTATTAACCACAGGCTTATCCATAAACAGTCAAGTGGTTAATAGCACACACCCAAGAATTATCATCCCTGATAAAGGCAAGTCTGATTACTACCATGTAGCGGGTTATTTTCATGAGTCTAATATTTTAGTGGTTTGCCGTAATTAACAGTTTACATAGCCTGTAAGGGGATGGTTAAATTTCGTGGTAAGCCCCAAAACCATAAAAATAAAGTGCCAAGAAAATAAAGAACCATGAAAATACTGTACACGTCTTAATTTTGAGGTGTATTAAATTTTGTTATTTTCATGCTCACCTTAAATCCATGAAATTTAAACCATCTCTAATGCCATTCTATTGTATGTAGACTATGGCCAAAGCACAAAAATTAGCTCACACGAATATTAACTTTTGAGCACATTTCATTGAAAACATGAAATTTTAAACACTTAAAAAATTTGAATGTATACGGTAACCTGCTATACAGTATTTTCATATAGCCCTGACAGGCATCATTGCCTATTGCTCTAGCTGAACCAGTACCATATTCTATGGTTGTATTAATTGTGGCTGGTCATCACAATTGTATCATATACTAGGTTGATTGCCGTGCAGGCTGCCCAAAATCTATAATATAGGATGTGTCAGGCTGAGTCATGACTGAAAATCATTTATGATTCACATTAAAATTCTTGGTTGTGTACATACCGTATATCCTCAAATAAAAGCCGAGTTAGCCATAAAATTGAACTATAAATACACAAATCTAGCCTTAAAATAACATAGATGGCTTGTAGATACTTCCTTAAAGCTAGGTTTACATTCAACAAAACAATTAAAATTGTGTAGGCGTTGATGCAAAAACACTTGGAAGTTGATGCAAAATTGGCCAAAATTTAATCTTGCATTTTATGGCAAGTGTAAACCAGGCTTGAACTTCCTGAAGTCATGTGCGTGAGCGAGGTTCCTGTTTTGAATCTTGCTGTTGGCTCAAGTTTTATTTCATTAAAAAAATTTTTTCGAGGTCCAAATCCCATTTTAAGAAATGGACGCCCAGGCGGAAATATGGTAGTTGTAAGGAACATAATGTAAAATGTAATTTGTCAAGTGAACCACACTCCAATACATTAAATGTTGGATAATAAGTTACTTTTGTCGTATTTTGATAGATATGTAATATCATCAGAAACTGTTTCATGAGTGCCAGTAGCTCTTTCACCATCAATACTAGTATCTGAAAACAATTATGATTGTACTAGTCAAAATAATAGAATCAATGGACAATGGACCGACCTTCCTCATCATCTTGATCACTTAATAACCTTGGGTCAGCCATTGTGGAAAAAGCTAGCCACTATCTTGCACTTGCAGTAAGCCAGATTAGCCAGTATCTAAAACTCTCACTCTCTTGTGATCTAGCTGCGGCGCGGAGACGGGGAAAATAGAGCCATAGATACTGCGCTTTTCACTCCTCTTGAATAGGATCACATTTGCGTGCTCCGTAAACTAGATTATACATGCACATTGGAAGGATTTACGGAACATGCATGATCCAGAATGATCCAGCGTAGATAGATATCCACCCCACAATAAAATAAAAATTATAAAACATACAATTACAGCGACAAGCTTAGAATAGAAATGGCCGAGTCAGAGCATATGTCAGAGCTTGCAAGCAAGTTAAACAGGCAACAGCAGATAAACGATGGTGAAGTGAAGGCTGCTAAAGTCTCCCAGTCAGTGTATGCAGAGTTTAAAGAGTTCTCTATACAATAAATCAAATAATATCGAAAGATATTTGTAAGGTAATTATGAATGAATTAGTCTCGAATGCTTGTTTACATTATAGTTACACACTATAATGCTTTCTTTCAGATATGATGTAGACATCATATTTTATGGAGCTTAAGCTGATGATGGAGCTTCATTGATTTTATGGAGCTTAAGCTGATGATGGAGAAACTGGGAGAGCCCCAAACCCACCTTGGACTGAAGGCAATGCCCGGCAATGGTAACTGAAAGAAGTCGATGAAGATCACGACAATCAAATTAGCTTTAGAGAGGTATGGAAAAAGAGAAAAAAGGTTCTCTTTCTTTGTTTCTGTTTTGTGTACCCTTTTAACGTCTCCTTTTCTTTGTACCTTTACTCATCATTTCTATGCCTCCATCTTTCCAGGCCATCATGATTCATGTGAAAACATTTATCATGTTTATGACCATAAAAGGAAGTTCTATACCCATACATGTCTTGCTTGCAAGGAGTAAACTAATCTAATTTTATTCCCTATGTTTATTATAAATAAAATATCAAATTCCCTTATAAGTTTCAATTATAACTCTTTAATTCCTATATAGTTTATGCTTATATTTAAAACTCCTTTCCTGTTTATATTCAGGAACTCCTTAATTTCCTAATTTTTGCTTACATTCAAAAACTCCTTTCCAGGAGTTCATGCTTATTTATATTCAAGAAGGCTTGTGATGGAACACTAGAACTAGGGCAATAGCTGGTAGTTGTGATGTTGCTGCTGAAGGTGTCAAAGGAGACAAGAGTTTTTTTGAAGCAAAAGTAAGTGAGCAAGCAAGGGGAGCTAAATTTGAGAAAGAGATCAAAGGTATGACCAATTTTTAATTTCATTTATCACATGTAAATAAAAATAGCAAATAATAACAATCATAATAATAATAATAATAATAATAATAATAATAATAATAATAATAATATTTTGTTGATGACAGAGGAACAAGAAAGGAAAAGGAAAGAGGCAGAAGAAGCTACTGAAAGAAAGAAGGCATCGATGTGGCATTAAAAAGATCAGAATGTACTTGGAAGAATGTGATGTGGTTTAATAACTTTCTCACAAAATTCTCAGGGTGGAGCTACCACTGAAGAAGAAGAATTGGATATCGGAGAAGGCCCAAAGGAGGGCAAAGATAAAGTGGGCAGAGTCAATGGAGATGTGGGAGTGGCTAATGAAGTCAGACGATAGTAACGAGATCCATTCGTCGTCTGAAGAGGATTTTGTTTTCATACCATGTTGCCCACTAAAGTACGTGTGAATTTACCAGTACATTTTTGAGTGCTCTCTATCAGGCGATATCCCTGGGATATTGTGTGGCTTGTGTCATGGAGGGAGTCTGTCTGAGCAAGACCCAGTGGAGGGACAACGCTATCCAGTTCATCAGGCTTGCATTACTGTAAGATACACTGTACATGTACATGTACATGTACTTCTCTTTTCTATTTCTTTTTTTGTTTGTGGCAATCACATGCAGTTACATTGCAATGTGCATGTACATGTATCTATTGTGTTAATGTTGTGTTATTATTGTGTTAGTATTGCATTATTTGATAGTCATATTGCTGATTAACTCCGCATTATCTTTTGATTTAGGGCAATGAGACTGTTGTAGAGTATTTGTATCAGAATGGAGCTAAAATCAATGTGAGTGACGCTAGAGGAATGACACCACTTCATCTCTCAGTCCTTAATGATGATGCCACGTAAGCATAGAAAAGACGCCATGCACATGTAACTTTGTATCTTCTTTATCTTTATAGTCTTACAGCACTGCTATTAAAGAGAGGTGCAGACTACAAGTGTGTTGATGATGACAACAAGACTCCATTGATGTATGCATTGGAGAAGGAGAATGGAAACATAGTAACATTGTAAGTGAGAGAAAGAAAGAGAAAGTGCAAGAGGTAAAGTTTATTATTTTTTATTTTTATTAGGTTAAAGTTAGCTAAGGCAAGCGATGAGGCTGGTCGTAGTGAAAGTGTGGACTCCCAAATGTTTAGTGAGTCACATGATAGTCACATGATGATCACATGATCTCTCTCTTTCATTCAATCCTCTAGTGGATGAAACCATGGCAAGTATTTATAAGGATTTTTCAGGTGGTGATCGGGACAGTTTAAAGAACCAGTCCACTTCTAGTAATAATTCTACTCCTTCTGTTGCTTCAAGTGGAGAGGAGGGGAGCAAGGTCTATGTTTCCGTTGCAACCATTTCTAATAGCAATCCTGTCTTTTCAGTTGAGCAGAAGAATTAATTCTAAAATATAACTGTTATTTTGTTGTTGTTATTCTTGTGTTGTTATTATTATTATTATTATCATATACATGTGTTTTTATATGAAATTTATCAATACCATCATTATAATTTTTTGTTTGTATCCTTGATAAGAAATTAACATACACAGCCAAGAATTTAATTTGAATTATGACTGAAATCAATCATGATCAGCCTGATACATTCCTGTATCATGGATTATGGGCAGCCTGCACAGCAATCAGTCTAGTATGCTACAATCATGATGATCATTGGTACAACCATGCCCTGGTTCAGCAAGAGCAACAGACATGATTCAACATTGATGCCAGTCAGGGCTGTATCAAAATAGACATTAGGCTCGAATCATTGATTTTGGGTAGTGGCCTGTATCAAAGATGATAATTCTCGGCTGTGTAGTTTTTGTTTAGTTAACCATGGCAGTGCACTATTCAAAGAAAATATTGAGCTTTTGAATTCAAATGACTTAGAGGAGTCATTGTATTATAAATCAGACTTACACCAGTGCCTTTATTCAGTTTTCCTTTCAAGCACTATGAATACCGAGAAAAATGCAACTGTTTTTGTAAAGAAATTCTAAATTAAAAACCAACAAAGTATAAAAGTAACTAACATGCATCTAAGAATAAAAATTGCACCCATTGTTCGTTGTTATTCTCTTTATTCCTTTCGTCTCTTGACAAAAATATTTGAAGTAGTGCCTTCAATGTCAAGTTGCTTTTCTAGTTCATCAGATGCAGGTTCATCATCAACATAAACTGAGAACTCAATCAATGGAATTATTCTGGACTGGAGCTTATGAAAATCTTGTTGTAACTCAACAGAATCAATTTCAGCTTTTGTTATCTACAATAACAAAAAAAAATTAATAATAATAATTTTGTTTCTTTTTTCTTCCTATGTACAGGGTCCTCCCTTTTTGTCTTTTTTGTGTCTTTCTGTCACCATTGTATAATAATAATCATAATAATAATAATAATTCGATTGAAAATGATTCCCATCATGGCATAAGGTAGTAGAGGCTATAGCCCCGTTTATTTATACTAGAATCATACTATACCTCATTAGGTATGAGAGAGAGGGGTGATATCTTCCATCCATTGCTTTCCATTGAATTTTTAAACTTATGAAGTCCCATTGATAACTCTTGGCCATCATTCCTGTCTGTAAACAAAAATGAGTGAGACTCAATGATGCCAATTGACTCAGATTGTGCATACTATAAATAAAAATAATAACATGTACATGTCAAACAATATGCACCTTTAAATGAGCATTTAGGTGCTTAGTGAATAGTATACTCATAGTCCAGCAGTTCTTATATTCTTTGACATAAGAACATTGACCAGCATACTTCACTGATGTATCTCTCCTATGATAATTATTATAACAATGATAATACTAACAATATAAAATTAATTATAACTAACGTAGATCCCTTGTACAAGACACAAATAAGACAGCTTTTACTGATCTTTAACGAAGCATACGTCTCTCCCATAGAAAAAGTCCCTCCATCAATGCAATTGAATGCAAAGACTTTCTTCTCTAAATCAACGGCGGCAGTTGCAAAGCACATTTTGCTGGCAGTGATGTCATCATTAAGATCAACACAATGCTCTAGCTTGATGGTGGCATTAAAATCTGGAGGTAGCTCTCCTGGTAGTGCAATATTGTATATAGCACTGACAACAGTGCAGCCATCAGGTAGAGTAAAAGGACCACAGAATATAGTGCGAACATTAATGGCTAACTGCTCTTCAGTGAGAGCTGGTACAATCAACTCATATCCATAGTCAGCAATTTCAATTGTGGATTCAAGTCCTCCTTCTCTGTTTTAATTCAATAGTGACACAAGTACCTAATAATAATGAGTTTAAACTATAGTAGTCACACATTATGTGAAAAGGGCAAAATTTAGCAGTGCTACTCAAAACAAAATATAATATTACAATACTGTTACCTCTCAGTATGTCTTCAATTTGCTTGATGAGCCATTGTACCACTTGATTACTGTCAGCTTTACCAGTTTTATCTTTTGAAGACTCATGTATTTGATAACTATGATATGCAATTATTCCAAGATCAATAGGTACTGTCACTGCTAATGAAATCCCAGCTGGGGCCACACCAGCAACACATGCTCCAGTACGTAAAGCAATAGCTCCAGTCTGAGCAACCGACTCTATAACAGTAATGCTCATACCAGCCCTACTCAGACTAGCAAAAATCTGGGCTCCTCCAGCTGCAAAACTTCCTGCCATTCCTCCAGCAGACTCAGTACACTTTACCATAGCAGCATTATACTTCATGGCAATTTCATTGATACTAATACTCAACTGCTGATCAAGGCTAAGGTGCTCTTGGGCTGATTTCAGTTGTTTATTTTCTAAAATAATTCTAGCCATTAATGCTCCAACCCCTCCTAGTGAGGCAGTAGCCCCAACCACACCACCACCAGCTAATAGACTTATTGATGCACCAAGTGTAAATGGAATCAGAGCAAGACCAAGGACCATCATCCCACCTCCTAGTACTAGACTGGTTGATGATGCAGCTATTCTGGCTATCCTCTCACTGTGGACTATGGACAGTACTTTATCTTTATTTTTTGATATGGCACTGATGGTCTTGGAACGTATTGGGTGCCACATAAAGTGGTATAGTTCCAGCCGCTTCTTGTAGTACTCTTTCTGTGTTCTATACAAAATAATAATTTAAATATAAATTGCAAATAGCAAAAGACAGAGAGAAAAAAGAAAGAGTAGTCAGCTAACCTTAAATTGAAAGGTTCATATGGTGTAGGTAGAACAAATTTGTCGGTAAAACCATCAATGTACATGCAGGAAACCTTTATGTCATCTTTTCTGTTAAATTCTTCTTGAATCTCCTCGAAGCATTTTTGTATGCTGGCCCCCTGCTTCAGGTTATTCTTAACAGTGTCTAGAACCACACTGCTGTTCTTCTGGATTACTGACGTTATGAGAAGAATAGAATTTTTAGAAGGAATAGACAAAACTTGAAGTTTCTCTTTGGGCTCTTGGTCATGGGCTAAATGAAAGTAATAGATTTTTGGTAATTGAGCAAAGGGGGACTGTTCATTTTGGAGGCACCCAAAAATTTTGTCAACCTCAACTATTTCGCTGTTGCAATCATAAAGGTGTCTGGTCTTGCCCTTAGAAAGGAAAACGAAAGCAAATGTGACCAACTGAGAGTGATCAATATGGTGGAGCACTTCCAGCAGAATGTTGATTGATTGAGAACTGAGCGAGTTAAAATAGAGGGTACAAAACCCAAGGGTATTAAGTGTTTGTTTGATTTTCTGAGCATCATCATTAATTGTCTTAGTGCCATCTTCTTCTTTCTTTACTTCACCATGATTATCAATTATGATAGCCAAATGAATCTCTACAAAAATAACAAAATAAAATAATGTACAAATGGTAAACAAATAAATTTCAATAAAAGTGTCAAAATACATTATGTTTGCATATAGATCTATGTACATGCACTTACTATCATTTAAATTCCACAAGCTAAAATTATGTTTTTTCTTAATTTGTGAGTGAGCAAATTTTATTAAGTCATGTAACCAATTCTCTCGATCAGGAAGCTTCATTGGGTTAGGATTAGAAAATGTTGGCTTATAATAGCCTGCTGGTACAACTTGAACCACCAAATCCTCAATCTGTAGACGCTGCTTTAAGAAAGCATTGATATCAGTTGCATGCACTTGCACTTTATAAGCAAACCTCTTTCTTAATAATCTCGCCCATCCATCTGCATCTGTAAATGGAGGCTCATCATCTTCCTCGTCTCGGCTATCCCTCTGTTCACAGTCTTCTTTGTTAGCAAAAGTGAGCACAATTACAACTCTCTTCAAAAAATCAGAACCAAATGCTTGATGCAGTTTACGGAGAGCTAACGTATCATCGCTATCAAGCCTGTGATTGGTCATCTTCATGCAATAGAGCACAAGGCTAACCTCCTGACAATGAGCCTTTATTTCTTCTATGTACTGCTGTTGTATGTCCTGCAAACCAGGTGAGTCTATAACCCTCACTTTGACACCGCGTAACAGCTCAGGATGAACGTAAGAGTGACATGATTTCGTACACATGTCTGCCTCTACTCCCTCTTTTGCAATCTCTCTTTGTAACTCTATCAAGCTGTTAATAAAAGTTGACTTTCCATGGCCAGTTTTTCCCACCACAAGCAGGTGAATGTCTGATGAAGTTCCTTTACTTGTCAAGATGTGTTTCATTGTAGACATGCCTACAAAAGTAAGTTTAAACAAGGTGAATGTAACAATGAAGGGACAATTAAACAAGAGCAAAGCTCTGGTCACAGAAGACCGCACCACTCTGGTCACTCCTTTTCCGATTGTATCCCTTTCCTCATTCCCTTTTCTATGAACCCATTAATAGTCTAATTTCTGAAATATTACAATACTAATTGGCAAGGTTTGAGTTCATGTTTGCCTAGGTAATCCCAATTTTAATGACATTAGACTACACTCTAATACATTAAATGTTGGATAATTATAGTTACTTTCATTGTCATATTCTGATAGATCACCATGAGTAATAGCAGCATTAGAAACTGTTTTATGAGTGTCAGCAACTGTTTCACAAGTTTGAATTGCAATTAATTCAGTATCTGAAAACAGTAATGTTAGGTTAATTTAACCAGTAAAATAATACTTACCTGCTATTTCAGATAATTGTTGACCCAGATAAATAGCCCTTTCTTTAATATTGATGGCAAGTTGCCTTCTTCTGTTTTCTAATAGTCAGCGGAACAATTTTAAACAAAGGCTTTAATGCAAGATAACAAGCACGTATAGAGATAATATTGGTAAAACATTGAAAACTTAACACTAAAACAAATGCTTACCTAAAGCATCTTCATAGTGTAACTAAGAGTAGATAATAATAGAAGAGAGTGTCCTACTGTGCATATACCCCCTGCTTCATCACCGCGTAGAATTGAAGAGTCACATTCAGGATATTTTCAGTATTTTAGAGTAGTTATTCAAAAATAACTAGCAATATAACTAGTCTAGGTGAATGTAAACATTGTGGGGGCGAGCATGAGCCATCAATTAACAACTGAAATAATAATTATGATTGAACTAAATAAAATCAATCCAGCTCTCAGCCTGCATGCATATTCAGACCCCGGCCTCATGGCCGGGGTCTGAACAGAGCAAACACACCAGTCAACACAACCAAAATAACCCAATCAAAGTGACAAGAACGAGTCCTGTCACACTGAGAAAATGTACCAAGTTAAACTTCTAATCTACTAGCTTTCATCAATTATACCATTTGAAATAAGATTGAACTAAATAAAATCAATCCAGCTCTTAGCCTGCATGCATATTCAGAATTTCAGACCCCATCCTCATGGCCCGGCAGGGTCTGAACAGAGCAAACACACCATTTAACACAACTGACCAAAATGACCCAGTAAAAGAGACAAGAATGAACTGTCCTGCCACTCTGAGAAATGCCAGTGCCAAGCTAAACTTCTAATCAAGCTGTTCTCCCAATTTTAATTCTTTCAATGAGAGGACTAATCTAAAGGAGTCTTAGATCAAGCTGCTTTAGGTTTTTCAGCCTTTCAGATGTTTTAGACAGGCCCTCTCTCTTATCTAGCTGTTAGAAACTCAATCTGAGTTTGTCACGTTAAAATTTCCGCCATCTTGTTCTTTTGACCACACCCTCTAAATTAATTTTGCCCACGTGGTCCAAATTTATCAATAGTAGTATACTAATTTAATTTTCGTATTTTTCCGTTCACAAACAAGACGTAACGCAAATAGACCTAGACAGATTAGTGTGGGTCTTATGGCGAGCCGTTTGTTTCAAAATTATCGATACTGCTAATGTTAAATTTAAACTAAATTTACGGTAGTTTACTGATTTATAGGCGTCCTGAGTTTTCCCAAGGTTTACGGTTTAGTACATACAGAAACACGTGGCCCAATGGCCAACTCTCTCGTCGTTCTCTCTCCTTTTCTATAGACTAGTTCTTTTCTTTGATGCTTCCCCTATTTCTAAAAGATTAGGAAAGTAAAATGGACCAAGATCTAATGGAGCTCGAGGTAAGAAAAATACAACTAAATTACGGCAGACACGAAGTCAGTACTTGTACATGTAGTAGCCGTCCTGCGGAGCACTGAGGCTATGCATGTGGGCCTGGGCTTTCTAACTGTGTTGTCTTTATATTGCCAGAGAACAAAGATGTGTGGGGTGGTCCAAGTTATAGCATACTACTATTAAAAATTTATTAAATGTCTTGGCCATTACATATCTACCTATTCAATGAGCATATGTTCAGTGCCAGTTTGATAATGATATGATAGCCCATTTAGTCGTAATAGTTGACTCTGCAACAGCGGTTTGGCGGGGTGAGTGGGTTGATAATATTGTGATACTTCACTTTTCATACTTAAAAATTATAGCTTATTAGATTTTTGTGCATACCTTTAAAATCCAAAATTAAATTTGTAATTACTATACTCATAATCAGTTGTTTATGTAAGTATTAATTTTAACGCTGTTCAGTAATGATGATAATATTTGTAGATGAATCAGGTATTGGATAAGCTTGGTTATAGTGATGAGGTGAAAGAGAAATTTAAAAAGGAAAAGGTAAGATTTTTCTGGTAAAAATGTAGGGATTCTGTGTCTTAATTCATGCAGATATATGTATCAACTGTTCCTGTTTTAACAAGGGATCAATTTACTGAGCTTGGTATTATGACTATGGGGGAAATAATTTTATTAAAAGAGGCATGTAAGCAGTCAACAAACTGTAAGTGTTCTAACTTTAAGTTTTGATAGTAGTAATTATAAAAACCTTACAGATACAAAAGTTGCTAGTGAGGTCACTCGTATTATGGCACCAGCCCTGCCCTGCTCATCAAGCAGTGGGAAAGTTACGTTGCAGAAGAGAAAAGGAAAGAAGTATAGCACGACAATAAAACCTAAGGTTCAGGTCTTTCAAAAGAAGCTGGTCGTTCTAAAATATATGGGTAGAAAATCACCACTTACCTTTGGTCGTCATGAAAGCGATATTTTATTTCGAGGCTTGTTGCCAGAGATCCCATTATCAAGTAATGAAACAGAAATCAGGAGAATTATCATTGACATTCTCCATAGCAACAAAAGTTTTCTCTTGGAAAGCTTTGATTTGTACGATTTTGAATTTCTGGAAGCATATGGTAAAAAGCTTACTGTACCAACTTGTGGAGATAATTTTGAATTTAATGGAAAATCTGTAAAGCAATTGGCTGGTGTTGGTGCAGTTTACATTCGATTGACTAAGAAACTTCCTCCTCGAGGCCCTTTTGTTGTTAGTGATGAATCAGATGATTTGGAGCCTCTAAATAAAGAAGCACGACAAGATTCAGACTCAAGCTTTGAATTACCCGATTTTAGCAATATATCATGGATGCCTTCTGCACAAACAATGTCTATTTCTCACGATGACGTTACTTCTCCAGAGACTAATTCTTGTAGCAGCACTATAACTCCTCTTATTGATACTTATACAAACTCTAACGATTCTACTTCTCTTTGTACTTCTTCCACTCAGTCTATTCTTCCTAACACTACTTGGAGTGCCACTTCTAACTCTACTGTGGAGGCTACTCGTCCTACTGGTCGGCCCACTCATTCTGTGCAGGCTACTCCTACTGGAAGGCCCACTCATTCTGTGCAGGCTACTCCTCCTACTGGTCGTCCCACTCATTCTGTGCAGGCTACTCCTCCTACTGGTCGGCCCACTCATTCTGTGCAGGCTACTCCTCCTACTGGTCGGCCCACTCATTCTGTGCAGGCTACTCCTCCTACTGGTCGGCCCACTCATTCTGTGCAGGCTACTCCTCCTACTGAAAGGCCCACTCATTCTGTACAGGCTACTCCTGCTACTGGAAGGCCCACTCATTCTGTACAGGCTACTCCTCCTACTGGAAGGCCCACTAATTCTGTGCAGGCTACTGCTACTCCTGCTACTGAAAGGCTCACTCATTCTGTACAGGCTACTCCTGCTACTGGAAGGCCCACTCATTCTGTGCAGGCTACTCCTACTGGAAGGCCCACTAATTCTGTGCAGGCTACTGCTACTCCTGCTACTGGAAGGCCCACTCATTCTGTGGAGACTACTCCTCCTACTGAAAGGCCCCCTCATTCTGTGCAGGCTACTCCTCCTACTGAAAGGCCCACTTATTCTGTGCAGGCTACTTATGTTACTGGAAGGCCCACTCATTCTGTGCAGGCTACTCCTCCTACTGAAAGGCCCACTCATACTGTTCAAGCTACTCCTTTTACCAGAAGGTCCTTTTCTCTTAATTCTACTGTGCAGGCTACTCCTACTGCAAGGTCTGCTTGTACAAATACTGTCCAGGACACTCCTATTGGAAGGCCCACTCCTTTTGATCATACTGTGCAGGCTGACTCAGTAATAGCCACTCCTCCAAGTCCAAGCAATGTTACACCTCCTGCCTCCCCTAATCTTTCTGTGTTTTATGATTCTTACATTGAAGAGCCATATCAGTATGATGCTCCTCCCACAACATTAGAAGGTATTCATGAGATGTATTCGTCCCTCTCTATAGATGATATTTCATTGATTTTTGAAGTTTCTGGCCGTAGTTATCCAAAGACACTACATTTCTTGGAAAATCAATCTTTAAACAATTTACTTGATCTCCTATATAGTCATTATATAGGATATTGTACCGAAGAATCACCTAAGCTGACAATTGAACGAGATACCTCACCTGAAGAAATGGCCGAAGTACTCTTGTCCTTTTATAAAAGTGGTCGTTTCTCTACGAATGCCTGTGTGAGAGTTATGGATGGCACTATAGTAATGGACAGTGGGGGTGTACGTCGGCAGCTATATTCTACTGCTTTTAGCGCAATCGCCAATGGACACATGCAAATTTTTGATGGTCCTGGAAATAGAATCAGACCGGCTATTAAACCATGTAATATAGCTTCAGGAATTCTCAGAAACCTTGGTAAAGCAATTGCACATTATTTAATAATGGATAAATGTGGTTTTCCATTTCTGTCGCCTCCTATATATCACTATTTGGTTGGTGAAAATGATATTGCGGTCACATTGTTAGAAGACATAGATGTGTCTGGAGAGTCATTGCATGTGATTAATAAGGTTACTTACTAAGCATAGTACATTACATTTATTATTATGTTATCAATAATTAGATAAAATCCTGTTGTTCGAAAGACAAGTTGGTTGATGATGAGGAGGATATGCAGTATATTGATAATGCTCTGAATCAATGTGGCAGTGAGCTTACTCTGAATGTGAGTTGCTATAATTATTATAAATTTGCAATACAGTTGATGGCATAAATGATTATTCTTTGAGATACAGGAATTGTTTTTATTATACTTAACTTTGTAGGTTGCAAACAGAGACAGCATCATACAAACTCTTTTGATGCATTATGGCTTGTTTAGAAGAAAGAGTTATCTGGACTCTATTGCTGAAGGACTACAAGTTTTCAAAATTTTCACCTTCATGAAAACTTTTCCAGGATTATTTAAGCCTGTTTTCACAAGCCGAGAGATATGCAGTACTGATGTCATTCAGCAGATTGTACCTCTAGATTCACCTCTAGATGACCATATGTTCAAGCTAATTTCTTCACTTTTTGATTATATCTCAGAACTCTCTGAAGAAGGTATGTATTCTAGGCTGCATTGTACATGTATTATTCTTTAAAGGATTACTTCATCAACTTAGTAATGTTCATTTTGTTATGCAGGGTTAAAGTGTTTTCTGCGCCTAGTTACTGGGAGTGATTTTTTGATCAATGACTGTATTATAGTGCGATTCACTTCTTTGGATACAGATCCTCCTTTATCCTTCCATACTTGTGCAAAGACTATTGTCATATCAACTAAGATCGTAAATACTGAAGAACTCAAGGCAGAGTTTGATGTACTGATACAAGATAGATCCTTCACTATGGCATAGCATGAATTGCAAATTTGTGACATGTTTATGAATTTTGTATTCATTATCATTATCTATTTTATGAGCATTGTATCTTTGTCATTTACCATTCATATTTACTTTGTATAATAATCAATGTAATAATTAAGCAACAAATAGGGGAGGGTGCATGTGTGTGTGAGAGAGAAAGAGGAAGGAGTTCACAAAAGGAAATTAATTTTATACAAAATCATTATGTAATATTGAATTTAAGTATATGTACTAATTGTACTTCAATCACTTTCAGAGCTTGATGTGGTTTCCAGCAGATCAATTAGCAATGCTTTTATTTCTAGAAACTCCACATTTGGATCAACACTGCCTACATTTGCTAAGACATGACGCAATTGGCGAATAAATGCATCCTTTATCTCTTCACTTAAATCTTCAAGTGTTTCTGG